CCCACCCTACCAGTGGCATCACGCCTTTGTTGAAAATATTCGTCGTTGGTGGTGATTTCGCTCACTATACGAAGAAAAAGATTCTTACGCATGCGAAATCTCCGACGGAATACCTCTTCAGGATAGGTTGGATTGTCGGAGAAGTAGTCATTGAACACATTCGCCTCTCCTCTCTCTCGTTGCCTCTCAATGACTTGCCTTCTACCTCTAGAAACGGGATTTGTTGGTTGTAAGACCATATTTGGAATACGAACAATCAAATCTTCCATAATATGATCAAATTGTTGATTTTGATGAATCACTCGTTCTTCCCATTCATCAAATTCGATGAAATTGGAAGTTTCAGAACTAGAACTTGAATTTTCAGGTGAGTTTTTAATGGAAGACATTTCTGAACAAGAACGAATTGTCTTACGAAAAAACAAAGTTATAATTGATATAAAGAAAATAGATATGATCTGATTTTGTTATCAACTTGATCTGAATCCAACCATATTATATAGGAATGTAGTATGAAGAGTTGGTGTAGATTTAACTTAAAATAAAATTAAAGTAAATGTAAAAGAAAAGTAAAGTAAAGTTAATATAAAGAAAAGTAAAGTAAAGTAAAAGCAAGAGTAAAGTAAAGTAAAAGCAAAAGTAAAGTAAAATAAATAAAAGCCATGTGCATTCAATGAATGAGAATTTTATTGAATAAAGCTGCTATTTGATCCGGATTCAATGCATGTGAATTTTGGAAGACAAAATAAAGCTGCAATTTGATAGTAATAACTCATACACTATATTCCAAATAGCTCTTGCTCATTCATTTAATAAGTGACTATTATACTAGTAGATAGGACAATCATTAAAGTAACATGTGATTTCTGAAAAAGATTAAAAAAAACACTTACTAAATAGACTTTGATTGAATAACTTGAATTACAGGAATTGAAAAGCTTACATCAGAATAACTAAAACGACATAAATGAAAGCTGCATGATAATAAATTACATCGACTTTCCAAATAAAATTGAAGTTAAGTGACGTTTCATCTCTTCATCTTCCGGCGATAAGTGGTCTTTTGCCAACAGCGTATTCAACACCATCATATTCATTTTCCTAATCTTCCTTTCTTCTTTCTTGCGTTCCAACTCCATCCTATCGTTCGATATTTTTGTCATTAAATCACATTCGTTCTTTCTTGTAAGTCTTAGTGCACGAATTTCTGCAGTGAACTCATCAGGAATGGAAGAAGATTGTGGTGCTACCTTTTTTCCTTTTTTTTTGCCATATCTCTACCTTCGGGACGGGAAATCACAAAATCATCACTAACTGGAGTTTCTTGATTTGAGGGAATTGAATAATCTCCATCTTCAGTAGTCCTTGATCTTTTGGAACTGCCATGACTTTCTTCATTACTCGTTTCATCTTCAGGGCGCGAACGAGTTGAATCACGATCTAATTTTAATTCCCATTTGGGATGCTTTCGCATGACTTCTTCAAACACATGCAAGTCTGTAAACTTGCTACCACCAGCTTCATAAATTACATGAGCTTCTTTTTCAACATCTTTCATGCTCATTCCGCTTCTTTTATTTCTGTATGCTTCCATGTAAGCACCTCTCCACTTGTTTACATTTTCATTAAGGCGTTTATAACGACCTTTCATTGAATCCAAGTTTCTTTCACCAATTTCTTCTGGATTTTCCATTCGAGCTTGCTCAAACGTTTTAGCTATGCGTGACCATAATGAAGAACCCTTCTGATTCTTGCCACACAGTTTGTCTTCGCTAACGAAACACTAAGCTGACATTAGAGCAAGATATTCCGCCACACTCCAACTAACATTTTTCATTCCTTTTTGAGGATTTGTGCGTGTCTGTTGCACATTTTGAAATAGATTTCGAGAGATGTTTTGTGGGGGTTGGGCATTTACAGAAACTGGAAATTGGGTAAGATTAGGAGAAAATGGCTCTTGTGAATAATTTTCGAAATTCTGAAAATTTTCAGAGTTTGGCAAATTTTGAGAATTGAGGTAATACTCAAAATTTGGATCCATATGGTATTTGTTGGAAATTAAGAGAAATAAAAGAGATGATAAAATTAATAAAGTATGATTAAGAAGAGGGTGAAAAGAGAGAAATTTCAGTTGTGATTTAAAACATATCTAGAGTGGTCTCTATTTATAGAGAATGAAAAAATACGAATTTTGATATTTGTTATTATTTTTTTTAATATATAAATAAACTCAATTATTAAGTTATCTTATCTTATCACAATAAAATTATGACTTCCAATTAAAAAAAGACATGTGTCCCATGCCTTATCTAACTACCAATAATTGAATTAAAAAAATAAAAAATAAAAAAAGAAAGCAACATGCGTTTTTGTCTTTTTCTTGGTGACCCATTGGGTTGGGTCACCAATAAGGTAAGTCTGAAAGAGACGGCCACGCCCATTAAGAATGTCATTACTTATTTATATTGTCGTCCGCAAGAACTGAAAAAATGTAGACATTTTTGTAAAGAAAAAGGTATAACACGTAAAAAAATCCAATCGAACATTCCAACCCGTTGGAACTCAACATATAAAATGTAAATGAAAATGTTTGCATTTTCTTATCAATTACATTAATTTTCAAGAGTCTGTAACGTAAGGATTGTGAAGTCTTGGTTTAGATTGTCAAACACATTTGAAATTTTTAGAAATATTTTAAGATGCTACTAATGTATTCTCTGGTATTACTATCCTACTGCTCAACTTGTTGTAAGTCAATGTGTAGCCCATAATGTAGGGTTTTAGATATGTTTTTGCTAGTGATCCTGACAAACACGGCGAACTTGTAAGAGATATGTTAAAAAAATGGTCAAAATATTACGTTTTTATTCTAGATACATTTTAGTTGCATCTTTATTAGATTCGTTATTACATGAAAATGGGTTGCTCAACCAACTTTACTCATATTATGATATTATGTATCAACTTTCACTCTCCACTGATGTCTCAGCTATAAGTGTAAGACCAAACCCACAACAGCTCATTGAGCAAGCAAAACTTTTATTGTATGAATTGTTTAAGGAAACAACAATCGAACTCGGGAAAAATTCGGCGTCATTTTCTTCTAATGCATTCGGGTCTTCTTCTTGTGGACAATGGGGACAGACGACGCAGCAAGCCGAAAACTTTAGTGGCTGATGGGAGGAAAATTTTAATCTCTACAATGTCCAAAAGATGAAGGGGACTGGATATAGTAAGCTCGATCACTACCTCGTATCGAATTTGATATTTGCGATTGCTCGTGAACCAATTTAGCCACAAAAACTCGACGTGTTGGGTTGGTGGTCAAAGATGACTCCCATTTATCCTATTCCATGCTTGATGACCAAGGAAATTTTTGTTGTTCCGACCTCAATAGTGGTAGTTGAACAAGCATTCAGTGAGGGAAGATATACACTGAACGCACGGCAGTCGAGGTTGATGCCAAAAAACCTGGAGGCTCAATTGCTACTGAGTGACTGGAAAGTGGAAAAGGCCGAATGAGAACACAAAAGGTCATGCTAACTGCCGAAGATGATGAAGAAGATGAGACATGCAATTATACTGCTAGTACTAGTAGAACCGCCAGAAATAAAGATAACTACGAGATCTATGACAACTATTACTAGACCATTGGTATATCTACTTTCATCCAGGTAAGTAATGTGAGAGAATTGTTAAGACTTTGATTCTCAAGGTAAGGGATACGAAGACAACTTAATTGACGTATTACAATTTACAGCATACAATATCATTTTTTTAACCTAAAAAACTTCAATGTATTGATATTTTAACTTATAATATGTCAACTAAGCTCAAGTCCAATTTCTTTATCCAATTTGTTTTTAGTAACAACTAGTCCGGAACTGGCTGAGTCGTCCCAGACCCAAACCAATAGTTAGGTGAACCGGCGCGAAACATGGTGGTTTGGCCATGTTTACTCCCGATGGTATCAGATTAATACTCCCAAATTGTGACCTTTAGGTATCGAGCTTTGTTTATCCCAAACACGGCGACTTCAGCTTTTTAGTTACTTTAAGATCATGTAATTGATACACTTCTTGGAGACTTATTACTGATACATGTACTATAGTTTGTGCCATCTTGCACAACATGCTCAGCTTTGAAGAGATAGATATTGCATTTATGTACACTTGGTCTATTTATCGATTTCAATGCACTTGTTGGAGAGTGGAAGGATAAATTGGTGTGGAACGTTTTAAGGGACAATCATGCCTTTGAAACCCACCTGTTTGGATCCTGCAGTTGTGCATCATAAGTGGTATCTGATGGGTGTTGAAGCTATTGAACATCTTGGCTGTATAAAATGCACAGGAGACAAAATTATGGGTTTGTTCAAATAGGAGACAAATGTGGTTTGAAACGAAAAAAATTTATTGTAGAAATTTCTCTAATTAATAAAGGTGACTCCTTGGAATTTTGGCATCTAAGTTTTGCTAATTGTTGTATCAAGAACCAGACCTACATTACAAAAATTACACAAAAGAAATTATATATACATCTGTTTCGTTATTTTAAGACCAAACCTAATCAATATAAATGATGTCACATAAATGATGTATATTGAATACCTAGATACTCGAGGTACATGGATTTAAATTTACATGAACTCTAACTAACCATCTATAGGGATGAATAAGTGGATGAAATGTTCAGAGAAGCAGATGAATATGATCTCTATCCTTTGCCTGCTTAATCACCAATTTATCATATAATTTAAAATTATACAACTGGCCACAAATGAAGAAAAGGTCTAATGTAGTGATTTGGTGTTTGATGAATGCTACTTTCAATTAATATCGAGCTCACGCATTCGAAAGCTGAGAGCAGCAAGTCAGAAACTATCATCCTTAAAATGTAAAACAACAAATGCAACTCGAGCCAAGTTTATTATTTGTTCCAAGCACCACCACGTCTTGAAGGCAAGACTATTTCTAATTATCTGAGCATAACAGAATGAAAAATAAAAAATAAAAAATACACAACGATCTCAACATGAAAAAAAATTGTGAAGTGACAATATAACTCAATACTACAAATTGAGCACAATACATGATTTTCGTCCAGGTAAATTATGATCAAAGGGCCAAAACCTAATATTAAATCAGGTGTGCTTTGAGAACCCTTCTACCAAAGTATCCATCGACGTCAAGTAAAGTCAGAGAACAGATTTGAAAAATGCATATATATGTTTTAAAATTACAAAATTCATACGCCTCACTAGATAATTAATCCAAGGAATCGCAGTTTACTATAGTCAGATCATGAAAAGAATCCGTATCAGCTATTCCATTCGTATGCTAAGAAGAAAATCTTTTCCACCAACATTAGAAAAGCTTATTATACCTTTTCATCGACTTCAGAAGATTCTGTTAATCCTCCATGCTTTTGCTGACTGCTTCTGGGGATTGAATAACTACGTCTTTCTTTGCCTCCAGGTTTCGATGAGGCATTGCCATACCAAATCATACCAATGACGGCAATGATCATGCCTATAACTACTTGTACGTTAAGGCCCTCTTTCCCGAAAAATAAGAAACCGAGGATCAATACAAGGATAGTTTTCATATGGCCGAGCACTTGAAATGAGACAGCAGTGAATCTGCCGATGCAGATGAACTGGCTGAGATTCGTACCCACTGCAATAGTGCATGATAGGATCAAGAACACCTGTGGAATAAAAAGTAACTTGGTTAGTTGAGAGTGCTTCATAAGAATTCAAAGAGTATATATGCATGATTGATCCTCCATTAACGGTTTACTCCTACAATACCTATGCAGGTCGAACCAGATTTTTGTTTTTCCCCTATTTTCTTGATTGCAACTTACTGTGACTGTTTCAACAGAACGGATCACGGAATGACAAGAATAGGAGAACGTACTTGCAATTCTCTAAGTGATTCTAACTGGAAAGGAAGTTAAGAGGGCAGAACAGTTATTTCTGTTAAGCCAATAGCAATGTTTGTTAAGTTTAATGATCTACTCAGAGAAATCATTTAAAATATTTATCACATCTTATATTTTAAAGAGTGAATGGAAGGACAAAACACATAAACATTAATTAATAGCATGAGAAAAGCAACTGGTAAGCCGATATATGTTCCACTCCAGAAACTGCAAATAGTTAATACCAGAACCTAACCAGATATCATGCAGTACAAGTCACCCAGCACAAAAATCAGGAAGGAAAATCAGGTTCAGTCTCGCCTTAAAAGTCAAAGCCATTGTGATATTCTATATAGACAATTACACATACGTATTAGTCCTCGCTTTAGCAGCAACCAAACACTTAAAAGGAAGCTACAGAAAAGCAATAATCATTGGTAAAGTTAACTTAGTTGTTCTTTTTGTCATCTTGTTCAAACTCAATTCTCAATCTTTGAAGCTGAAGAATGAGCTACTACACTGAGGCATATGGACAAAGAATCCTAAAATATTATGACTAAATGGTCAATGGCAATTAAATATATTATGACACACAGAGTATAGCTTGTGGAAGTACTTACCATGGATGGCAGATGGAAGGCAAAGGCGTCGATTCTCTTGTTCGTCAACCAATAATCAAGAAAAGGGCCTAACAACAATAGTGATGCAGCTTGGGCTGGTGCAGTGTGACCCAGTAGATTAAATGACGTAAGAGAATACTTTCTCTGAAGAAAATGAACATACTGCAGGCAAAGTTACAGTTATGTAACATTCAACATATGGCATAGAGAGTACAAAAGATCTTCAATCAATAAGTACAATCTGAAGTATGCATTCTACAGTTACAAACTAACCACCCACTACACACAAACATTTCATATCTTCTTGTGGCTAAATAACTTTGATCTTCACAAAAATACCGACGAAAAATAATTCTTACCAAGTATTGTAGCTTAAGAACTCTGTGATTTAGTCTAAACTCTAAACATCAATATTCTTAACACATGTACAGGTTTCTCAAACTACAAAGAGTCAAAATATAAAATAGAACTTACATACTGTTGCAGTGCCGTACTCCAAACTGCAATAAATGCAGCAATGAATCCCTTGGCATTAACACTCACATCAGTAACTGTGCAGACAGCAACACCAAGGAGTACGACTAAGATGCTAAGCTTAGTATCTCTCGAATATCGTATCTTGTCAAATACAACTTCCAATAAGCAGGAGACAGGGATCATAGTCAGCTTCGCAATCTGATAGCATGCAAGACATAATATGAAATGATAGCTTGTATAATGATAAAATAGCCCAACACTCTCCCCTAATTTTCTGTTCCTCTCTCTCTCTCTCTCTCTCTCTCTCTCACACACACACACACACACACTCACGCACACACACAAATATTGATAAACCCATTATATACCTGGTAAAATCCCACAGAATTCCACATTAGGCTGACATTCATTNAACCACTCGAGAAACACACGAGGCACTCCATTAAGATCAGACATTACTTTGGTAACAGTTTTAACTTGCTTTACTACTACTCCTGATTTATGTAGATAAAATCATTTAACGGATGCTTAATAGTTTTTGAATCTTCATTTTTAGCTTTTAAAATATCAGTAGTCTACATGATAATCACTGGCTTTGGAAAAAAATATATTTTTGAAAACAAGTACATTTCACCTCTGCGGATAAATTTACACTTGGTCGATGCATGCACAGCTTGTTCAAAGGGGTATATTAAATTTATCAAAGCTGAAGACATAAGTTTAATAGCGTGTTTAATATTTTTATGAAATATATTATTTTAGCTTTACAAAATATTAAGTATTCATATTTTTTTAAAAAATCAAAGAATATCAAGGGATATAGTTCCATCATTCAGTATCTCCTTGGAACATCATTCCATTACACACCCAAAAAGTGCTCTGTAGTCTACATGATAATCACTAGCTTTCATAAAATTTATAAGGTATTCAATTCTTAGAAACAAATTAATATTTCAACTGTGCGGATAAAATTACATTTGGTCTATGCGTGTACACTTTGTTCAAAGAGATAAATGAAATTTACCAAAGCTGAAGCCATAAGTAGCCATTAAGGCCTTGTTCACGATTATGATCCCAACAGAAGTGACTACGTTGAACATCCATGCAGCTGCATCAACTGTAGCCTTCTTATCAGCTTTGCTTACTGGTGGCATTTTGCTTTTTTCCTAATTCTGTTATAACAGTCCAAGGGTGAATAAGTACCCTGACAGGACCATAAAGCTACCAAATGAACTACCACCGCCGCATTAAACTTGAGGTATATTTGTCTGAATTTCCTGCACAGTCACCATTTTTAGTCAGGAAAGAAGTCCACTGACTAAATGAATGCTTCACCTTCAGCATGAATGGTAAATGCATGATTATACTCTGAACATTTTCACTTCTAAAACATGTTGAACTTCCTGCAGCAGAAACAACTAACTCGGGAGCAAAAATCTACTACAATGATTTAATGAAACAAAATGTCAAAAACAATTGAAAGTTTACAATCTGCAGGCGGACAAAAGTAGATCCATAGTTAAATGAAAGAAAAAAGAACGGCATTGATTAACAGACCAAGCACAAAGCTCCGAAAACTAACTTCCACTGGATCTAACGATTTTCATATCTATACCCAAAACCACATAAAATTTCCAAAAATGTCATCATTCATGTGTCAGTCAACGTTAGATCTAAATCCAGCAACTCATTTTTGCAGATCGCTTTAGATTGCCAAAATCCACATCAATGACTCACAAAATCACAGATCTAACCAGACATGACCATCAAATTAAACCGGAAAGCAGATCACAATCCAAGCCCACATCAGTGAATAAAATGCATAACAATTAAAACAAAGTTAAACATAAAAAAGAGCAAATATAGTTTGAACGGAACTAACGGGATTTTCAACGTGAATTTCAGTTTTCCTCCAGATCCTCAAAACTCCTGAGTTAGAAATGGGCGAACGTATATGCATGTGATGGACCTATAACACATCATACGCGTGTGTTTGTATTGATTCAGAGTAAATTGAACGAAGTACAGAATGAATGAGGTGGAAGGATCGTCATTGTGAAGTTAGGGCTTGACCAAGAAACCAAAATGGAATGTGAATTGCAGTTATGGAAGTTTGGTTTCCACGTGTGTTTACGAATTAATATTGCCATATATACAGCCTATTTTATTATTTTCCTATAGACTAGCAGGCTTTCGCAGTGCACAGCACGGCCGGCCCACGTTAATACTTTTTTTTTTTTAAGGTAGAAAATTATTTTTAATTGAAAAATAATGAAAAGGGTAATATATTAAAACCATAACCGATATATGGCACTAAATATACCACATCAATTAGTATCTAGAACCATAAATACATGAAACTCGTAATCAACAAAGGATCAGGGATCAAGAATGGGGTAATTACTTGTTACAAAGATTTTAGTTTTATATCTTATACTGGTTTTTATATAATTTCTAGCAACATCAACATTTTTTTCTTCGATAGAATTATATAAAAAGCAAATAACAACATGATTCATAGTAGATTATTAATTTTATCAACTCCATTCCAATCTATTATTTAGTATCTCAAATCATAATCATGTCTATAGTAATATAAAGAGGTTGATGGAAAAATATAAAAATAGTAAGGTTGACTTAAAAAAATTTTGACTTGCTAATTTAAGTTTACTCTTAATCACCTACAAAATTGTACGTTTGTTTAAATTTTGTTCCATATTTGCTCGGTCAGTTATAATGACTATAATTGCGGATTTTGTTAAAAAAATTAAGTGATTTGGATCAACGTACAAAAGATGCTGATTTTGTTAAAAAAATGTCCCGATTTTGTTGATAAAATTTTCCGATTGTCTATCAATAATGCTGATATTGTTCCAATTGTTTTGCGATTTTACTTGCCAAAAAACAGAATAATGATCCAATTCAATGTGTAAGCGGATTCTATGTGAATTTGTTGCGATTTTCTTGCACAATATAACCGGATTCTATGCGAATTCAATTGCTTTTCAATTGTAGGTGTATTCCGATTTTACTTACCAAAAAAAACGGGATTATGAGCAAATTCAATGGGTATCCAAATGTAATCATAAAAATCAGCGGATTCTATGTGAATTTGTTGCGATTTTCTTTCACAATAAAACCGGATAGAGTCCTCATTTTTCGAACCAAATTTAATCATAAAAATAAGCGGATTAGATGCCAATTGCATTGAAATGCCATGTATAGAGTCCTCATTTTTCGAACCAACTCATCATATTGTTATTGTAAGAAAATCCGATCGGATCCTATGGAATTTTAGTAACCGATATTTCACGATTGTTTCCTACAGATTCTTATATAAACATCACAAACTTTGCAACATAGTCTCGACATCATACACATCCCACAATACATTTTTTTCGCCAACCTTTTACAACAACATTCACAATGCCTATAGATTTTGGAGTCATCAAGGATATCGACAGATCCAAAAAGCCACCCATGAAGCTACGCATTATTAGGATGTTCCAACGAGTCGAAGATGTACGAAATTATCGAAATGTTCTTGAGATTGTCTTTCACGATGTTGAGGTAATATATTCTTTTGTTATTATTTACATTTATATTTTATCTAAAAATTTTAACTTTAAGAATAAATTTTAATTCACAAATAATTTCGATTGCAACATTCAACGTGACATATTTTATATTTTATATCTCTTATATTTAATATTTAATTATTCAATTTGTATTTGTTTTAGGGTGTACGAATTACTGGCATTATTCGACCTGTCAACATCCAAAAATTCAAAGGCCATATTGAAGAAGGTGGTTTTTATATTTTGACAAATTATCAAGTTGAAAGTAATATCGGCATCTACAAATCGACCATAGGAAAATGGAGGATCATCATTCATGGCCAAACCAAGATTGTGAAATGGAAGGAGGAATTTCCATTTTTTCGTTTTGACTTTAGAAACTTTCTAACTTTGATGGATGTTCGTAACATTGAGGAAGCTATGTTGTTTGGTACGTTACATATATACATATATATATATATATACATATATATATTCCGATTTTGTTTTGCATTGCTTTAATAAAATATTTGTTATGTTCAACATTTTAATATGATGCATTCTTTTATTTTTTGTAGATATCATTGGATTGGTTGTTTCAATACAACCAATTCAAATGAAGATTGTGAAGGGAGTTCCTACCCAAATGATTGTATTCTCTATTATGGATTTGGAGTAATATTTTGTAGCCTTATATTAAAACTTTATATATTACATAAGTATTTGATGTAATTCAATTTTTTTCAAAACGGTTTTTAATAAATTATTTAAAAACACATATCCACATTGTGTAGGGGTAATGTCAAGGAATGCACTGTCTGGGGTCGATATGTTGATCAGCTGATTGCTTTGGAGCATCATTATGAAAACGAAAAAACACCTTTTGTCATCATAATGCAAATGTGCCGCGCAAGAGAGTGGAGAGGTAATTAATTATGTTAATTTGATAATTTTTTCATTATGAAATAAAATTTTGATTAATACTAATTGTTTACGACAATATTTTGTGTAATAGGTAATGTTCAAATAAGCACGTCGAAGGACGTGACGTTGATCATTGGTGTGGATGTACCCGAAATTGAAGACTTTCGGAGGAGGTACATGTTATTTTATGCTCCAAAGCATTTACATTGGTAACTGTGTGTCATCATATTATATCTTAGCATTGTTTTTGTTATTCTACAACATAGGCTGGCGCTGACTAAATTTAAGGATACCAAATTGGTGTCAAGTAGCTCGATCATTGTGAAGACCGAACTACAAGGACTTGATGATGGTGACATTGTTGTTAGTTCTGTTGATTCTCTATTCGAGTATATTGAGGTAATATAAATTGTAACTCTATTTGGCATTTTAATTGTAAAACTAAAAAATATAATATTCATTATTATTATAATTGATAATTTATTTATCATTTATTAATGACAATTTCAATAAATTCAATGCCATACTATATATATTCTAATCGAATTCATATTAATGGTTATGTATGCATTTTTTCTTTGTAGGTCATGGACACTTGGGTTTGCGCAAGGATCGATTCCATCATAGACCAATGGTGGTACCTTGCATGTCTTCGTTGTAACTCCTCAATGGAGGACGACAACGGGATATATTCGTGCCGGAAGTGCTCTCACAACCGTGGCACATTTCGGTTTGTTAATATTCTATATATTCAAATTTAAATATGTTAATGTATTTGTATATGACCTTTATTAATGACAACATTAATCGCAAGTTTATTTGATTTGTAGCTACAAAATTCAATTTGGTGTTTCGGATGCTTCCGCCAGTGCAACCTTCCTTTGTTGGGATAAGGATTGTCAAAATATTATTGGCAAAACTTGCGATATTTTGAAACGTGAATTATCCCAAAAGGTATATATTATATCTTATTTATTATTTATTATTTATTGATATTTATATTTATATTTATTTTATATTATTACGGTTAAAAAAAATGAAAAGCAATATAAATACTGATTTTATGGCAGAAGAAACCCATCTTTGAACTCCCCGACGAACTTGAAGATTTGCAGGGGAGGTCATATCTATTTAAGGTTCGCATTAAGCCGGATGACCCTTACAATCAGGGTTCTACTTTTACTGTGATAAAAGTTGTCGTTGACGAACGTTTGGTTTCCAAATATAGTCAATGGGTCGTTGAGTATGATGTAAGTCTTATTTGAATTTAGATAATTGATCCTTTATTCGAAATTATAGAGTTTAATTGTCTTCATTTTATATTAACGTATTTGTGTTTTCTCTTTGTATATAATATTAATTTTTTTTATAGGATTCTGATTTCTTAACTCTCTTACTAAGAGATGAGGCTGCATATGGAGTGGTATACATTTTTACCACAATGATACGATTATTTTTTTTTTTATTTCATAATGAATTGAAATATTAAACATTATTTTCATATTTTGATTAAATATATTTAATTGAATTATTGTAGGATCCCACATTGGAAAATGAGGTATCGACTCCTGTGAAGGTTGTTCGATCCAAGGAAGATGGTGATGGAATTGCAAAACGGAACCTATCTGATCAATTTGCTGCTGAGTCCGTTACTAGCAATAAAGGGAAAGCAA